GTTAACGAGTGTGGAGCTGTTGTTGTTGTTAACGAGTGTGGAGCTGTTGTAGTTGTTGTGAACAAGCGTGGAGCTGTTGTAGTTGTTGTTAACGAGTGTGCAGCTGTTGTAGTTGTTGTAAGATTTAAGATTCCATATCCTGCACACAAAGTTTTACAACCATCCTCAGGAAAATTATTTGAGACTAATTTTTTAACGACTTGTGTAAAAATGGTTGAAGGCACTTTTTTATTCTTAAGTGCCTTTAGCTTACTCATGAAAGAATAAAAAAAAATGATTGTCATTGTTTTGCTTCTGGGAGTCGTTGAAAAAGGTATAAGGAGGGAGAGAGAAAAAAGAAAATCAAACAGTTGTCTGTCTAAAWCCCCAGCTACCTTCTCTTCCAGGCTGGAGTCTTTAAACATCAGTGAGAAAGGCTTGATATGCTCTCTTCTCAACTTATCGCCACTCCGTAAGTCGATGGCACTCTCTATTCGCTTGTTAATTTCCTCAGGACCAGAGTGGACATGCAAAGCTTGTGCAAGATGGTTTGGAAGCAGATTTATCGAATTTCTCGTTAGGGCAGCCAGAGTCTAGAGGGAAAGCACATGCACATAAAATGAACCTGCTTGTCCCCCTTTTGTTTCATTCAGGTTACAAATGAAAAAGAACAGACAAACAGTTTGTTACACACACACATACAAAATAAAAAAAACAATTACATTTAAAAAGAGAAAGAAAAGGGAAGACCAAAATGCAACGTTTGCTATCAGACAGACGGCTCAGAGCAAGTCATGCACGTCCCATTCTCTCCGGCAGCTCTGATGTTAGTGGTGGTAAAAGCTGCTCGTTATGCAGAAACACTGGAACAAAGCTGAGATTCATGTGCACAACTGTGGATGGAGGTGAAGAGCTCAGGGTTAAAACATGTTGGACAGAAATTAACATCTGAAAACATGAAACAGTTAAAATGTGTATGAAATATATTTTACAAATTTTCAACTAGAAAAAATATTAATTGAAGGTCATCACTTTTTCTTAAATGGAACCAAAAACTGACTAAAAATCAGAACAAGGAGTTTAAACCAAGATGCTTTGTATGATTTTTTTTCTGCTGAGTCATGGCGGACTTGCTGAAATGACCCCTCAGAGGGCCGGAGAGCTGCAGAGCTGCAGCCGTTAAAACCATAAAGTGATGATGGAGATGTAAAGAAATGTAATTTGTCTCCTGGACCAACTGAACGCCTCGCCTCATCAGGTTTAACTCAGGAGATCCATCACAATCAGAGACATCATTAAAACTTCATTTTCACACTCGCGTGCGTCGACGTGTCCGCCTTTATGAACTGATGTCTTCTGATCTTTCTTAGCCATCAGGTCTGCTCTCACCACCACGTCACCGCAGATAATAAACGACTTTGGTTTGATCATTTAAAGTCTAAAGATTCATCAGCATCAACGTTTTTATATTTACGGGTTTTAAACCTGCAGGCTGCAGTTCACCTGTTCACACAAAGGACCGTTTTTCAACTAAAATAATCTTCTTATTACAGAAAACACAGAATTAGAAACCGATGTGTTACTCCTAAAATGATCGGAACAAAAGCAAAAAATTTAATGATTATGTTCTCATAGTTTTCCGTCCCGTGGTTCAGGAGACATTTTGCTAACAGAGAGACAAAAACCCAAACAGCTCCTTTACTTCTTCTGAATAAATGTTTTGTGAAGTGAGACCTAGCGTGAACTCAGCAGAACATCTCATGCATTTGAATAAAAACATGAGACCTGCATGTCAAATAATTAACATATCTGAGACACGTGAGGCTAGTTATACTGCAGACAGACACACGGACAGAACTCCTCAACTGCTGCTGAAGATTCATCTGAACAAACACAACATTCACCTCAGAGATCTGCTGCTCGCGTCAACATCCCATAATAAATGCTCAGTTCAGGGTATGGGCATGATTTAATGCAGGTTTGGATAAATATGTTGCCTCTGGACCCAATTAGGCCTGGTTATTGGCAAGAACTTGGTGATAAAATGCATATAAAATACAGGAGTCATGATTGCGATATGTTGCAATATATTGTGATACTGTAAACAAGACAATATATTGTGACGGAAGCATGGCAATATATTGCGATATTATAAACACTGCAATTTATTGCGATACTGTAAGCAAGGCAATTTATTGCCATGTTATAAGCAAGGCAATTTATTGCCATGTTGTAAGCAAGGCAATTTATCGCGATACTGTAAGCAAGGCAACTTATCGCGATACTGTAAGCAAGGCAATTTATTGCGATACTGTAAGCAAGGCAATTTATTGCGATACTGTAAGCAAGGCAATTTATTGCCATGT